CCATGATTTGGCTATGCTATATTTCGGAAGATTGTGGTTTTTTGGTTAACTTTGCTCAGCTGGATTTCAGCTGGGAAAATTCCTAGGATGCATAGTTTAGGACATAGATTCAGCTTGACACTTGTAATATGCGCAATTACATCTAAAACTTCTTTCCAAAACTTTTGGATTTCTGAGCATTCCCACAGGCAATGCATCAGTGTGCCTTTTTCCCCACATTTAACACATATGTCCGGAGTTTTGGGGTCAAATTTGTTTAATAATGTTGGGGTGATATGTTTTCATTAACCATTTATACTGGATTAGTTTAAATTGGGTGTTTATAGATTGTGTTTGGGCTTTTTGCCATTCCTCTGTAGTTATTCTACACTAAGTCTTGACACCATGCAAGTCTGCTGTATTTATAACGGGTGAGCTGAAAGCCTCTGAGAAGATCAGATACATCACGTGAATTATTGGCTATGGGAATGAGACTTTAAAAAATTATACACAAGTCTGGATTATCAACAGTCAGTTTTTATTATTGAAAATGTTTCTGTTGAATAAAGTGTTTTTAAAAATAATAATTAATACCATATCAAAATGTTGTCATTATAGTTCAAGAAAATTTGCGATACTAATATTTATGACGATATAGAAAAAAAATACTGAACAAGTTTCAGTAATGAGGGGCATTTTTCAACGAGCTGCTGTCAGTGATGACACACTACCGAAATTAAATTGCGAGTTTACTGAAACAGGGTGCCAGCAGCAGCATTGTAACACAGCACGAGTCAAATGGAAGTACAGGTGGTGTTTTCCCTGGAAATGTTAAGGAGACGTATAAAATAACAGCTTAACATGTTTCTTTTATAATAAGCAAAGTAATATAACTTTGTAACTCCTCAAGAACCGAGCAATATGGTCATATTAAAAGTTTACTTATATTTTCTTGCTGGTGTGTTGTATAAGTCCTGCTTTTCTTCCATGTAACACATCAGTCATTTCCGCCCATTTGCTCTTTTCTCTTGGCTCTTGCTGTCAGACATGCCGAGGCTAGGAAACACAAACACATGGTGTTACTATAGCAATGATATCACAATATGACACGTGTCACATAAAAATATTCACAGGTTTATCACATACAATAAGATATGGCACAGCTATAGTCATTACACTTTAGCTAGTCTTGGCAGTTTATCAAGACATTTAACTACTTTTTAACTGTTTTTCCAACCCATTGAATTGAGTTTTGTTTTTACCAAAAAGATCTAGCAAAAAAGAAGAAATAAATCTCTGGGTAGTGACCTACTGCTTTGTAACTCAGCTGAGGAACAGCTCTCTCTGTGCCCTGTTTGTTGTGTGACTGAGCAGCAATGCTTCAGAGTGACAGAGAGCAGCAGTGCAGCGCGAGAGGGGAAAAAACACAGAAAAAGTTATGCACACCGGTCATCTATCGAGCCATCCTCTTAGTTGCTTATCCATCTTAGTGCCATTAGGGGTGCTGGAGCCTATCCTTAAACAGCTTTGAATTATGAAAGGAAACCAGAGGACACCCACTGGACACAGGAAGAACATGCAAAATTTGCATGACTGGGGGGAAGATAAAGAAAATGAACCTAATATTATTTACTGAAGTCAAAGAGCCTGTTTTAAGTGTCGTGTGTAGTGAGAGATGAACACAGAACAGAACTCAGCAATTACTCTAAGGGTCTCAGTAACAGTGGGCTGTAATTACCCATGCAAACACTGGGAAAAAACAACACATATTTACAAGAATCAACCACAACAACGCTACAAAATTCATGATTTCAAGTTAAACTTGGTCCGTCCTGTGAAGAGCTACTGCAGAAGTGTTCTGTATTTAGGAAGATCAAATTATTTCTTTATTAATTAACAAGTATCCACAACTACACACTTCAGCATATGATCAAAAACATAACATCACTGTAAGAGTGGCAAGTTGTTTGATTTGCACTATTTATAATAAGGCTTTTAAACCTTCATATAGTACATTGAAGTAAAAGCATGCTACATAATTGAAAGTTAAGTGCATCTTGTTAAGTGTTAGTTTGGCTGCTTAATAAAAACAAAATCAAAAAATGTCATTATGGACATCTTTGATTCTTTAAAAGAAGGTTAAAAGAACAGGTACACAACATTTACAACTGTGTTAAGAGACAAACATCTCAGTTTTAGTGTCATTCCTGTGCCCCGTGCACTGTACTGTTTGTATTTAGATTGACTGAGTCACTTCTAGGCCACAAACACAGTGGAAACCAAGTTACATGTTCACAAGCACTGATATAACTGAAATAATCATCACAGGACTAAATTAGTGATTTGAAGTTAAACATGAACAGTGCCTTTTCACTTTCCAGACATGTTCCAAAAACATCTCAATTATTCTACGAAACGAGTATCCACAAAAAAAGGACAGATAACAAAGTATAAGCAAGTAAACTTTAAGCGCTCATACTTGTTGGTCAAAGTTTGTCTCATTTGCTGCTGATTACTAGCAAAAATGTAAAAGACAGATGTCAGAAAATATATGTCGTGTTCGCTTAACAACAGTAAACAATAAAAAAATAGAAACAAAAAAAAAAAAACTAAAGTGAAGTTAACAGTTTAAGCCATCACTGACACACTGACGGAAACCCAGTGCTCCCAGTATTTCCCAGGACTCCCAGGACAGTTTTGGTTCAGATAATTTTCAGGTTCCTCCAGTGCCTGGCCCAGCTTTGAGTTCTTAAGTGCTTTCAACTCCAGCCAAGGAATTAAAGATTTTAATTCCCTCTAATTGGAGAAATCTTATTCGCAGCCTCAGCAGCCCCCTGATTGCACAGTCATATGATCTGCACACATGACACACACACACACACGACCTTTTGTAAATGGCTAGATTAGTTCTAGTGTTGCATAAGGCCTGCAGTTTGACAGATGTCATTGAGTTCAGTGTAATAGTTAAACTTTGACACAGAAGCTAAACAAAATGCACGATGCTGTAATTGTACAGGTTGTTCTCAATGCTAATGGAGCAGTCAGCATTCTGAGCTGTGCTAATCTACCTCACTATTGTTCAGCATTTATTAGCTTTAAGTTCAACCTCGGGTTTTTACTTTCAGCCATGATGGCAGAGCAGTGCCCACTAATGCAAAGCTCACTCTTTTTCAGTTCAGTCCTCGTTCCTGTCCATTTTCAGTGAAATGTTTTTTGTTTGTTAAGCCCCTTAACACTGACCTATG